GAGAGAGGGAGGGAGGGAGGGAGTCAGTGTCTCTCTACCACCGTGAGAGAAAGATGCAGAGGTTCAAACTTTCCCACATTAAACTGTTGGACCATAAAAGGACAAACGGGTCTGAAGCTGCAGTTTAACCCGCAGAGGAGCTCCTGTGGCCGGCTGCAGGCTGTGCGACCGCCCGCTGGGACCCACCGGAACCGAGCTGACCCGCACCTCCACCTGCTGCTGCTGCGCGAGCCCCGGCACGAGCCCCGGCACGAGCTCCCCTCAGGCATGGCATTCACTGGAAGGCACGAGCCCGATCAATACGGCTTCTCGCGGATTTCTAGAAAAAAACTGGGATTTTTAAAACCAGTTTAAAGAGAAAACCCGGAGTTAAAATTAAAGAGTGAATATTAATTAAACACTAAACGATGAGTCTGTGGACTAACGGCTCCTCCGCGGATCTTTACCCCGGGACGGAGGCGCCTCTGCCGGGCTCCAACTCCTCCAGCAACCGCTCGGACGGCTCGCTGCCCCGCGCCGCCCCGCTGGACCTGAGCCGGGCGGTGCCGGTGGGCATGGTGCTCGCATCCTTCATCATGTTCGCCATCGTCGGGAACATCCTCGTCATCCTGTCGGTGGTTTGTAACCGACACCTGCGGATCCCCACCAACTACTTCATCATCAACCTGGCCATCGCCGACCTGCTGCTGGGGACCACCGTGCTGCCGGTGTCCGCCACCCTGGAGGTCAGACCATCGATCACTGATTATTGATTATTGGAGGAGGAGGAGAACGTGCGGATTGTTTTCAGATCAGGGATGGAGAGAAAGAAAGAAAGAAAGAAAGAAGTTAGTGTCGAAATGAATTGATTATTTGATGGTAATCAATCAAACTTTAAGTTGACTGCAGCTCAAAGTGTTTCACAGAGAGAATTAAAAACTAAATACATACAAAGATAAAAGATCAATAAAACTGATTTTACAGGAATAACAATAATAAAATATACTGTCAATAAAGGATAAACTGAAAACTAATAAAATAGATTAATAAGGCAAAAAGAATAAACACATAAAATTAACAATATTATTAAGAAAAAGGAAATTCTTTAAATAAATGAACAACATTTAAATGTTCTTGTAATTTATATTATTGTATCGTATTTATTTAATAAGTGAGGTTGTAAAATATAAGAATATTTCTCTTAATGCTACTTAAAAAAAAATAAAAGCAATTTATTGATTAATGAGTCCTAAAAAAATATTAATTTGTGTGACGACTTAAATAAATTAACAATTGAATTTGTAAAACGGTTTAATTAAGTCTCTTTACGTCTCTTGAAAAGCGCTTTATGAATTAAATGTATCATTATTATTATTATTATTATTGTTAATATTAATTGATATTATTAATATTATTGTTGGCGTTAGCAGATAATTTACACAAACACACAAACACACATATAAAGAATATATAATAATAATATATAATAATAATATAAGTCTTCCCAGTCAATAATCAATAATTAATTAATAATTAACAACCATAACTGTAATCAATAATCCAACTGTGATCACAATAAATCACAATCAATAAAAACATTATTGAAACAATATTTCTTTGTTCTAAGTTAAAATATAATATCTGACCCGTGTTGACCCAATTAATCATTAATCAATACAAGAAAATAATCAATATTTTGGGGTTTTGTACAAAACATTTGATGAGTTTTTGACTCCAGATGAACATTTTTCAGTTTTGTGACATTTTTGAATAAAATACCTTTTTCACAGCGGCCATTTTGACTCGTAACAGTCGGGTAAACTCAGGCTCCATTCCCCGACTCTGTCTGGGGATCCATACTGATATTGATTATTACTAATCAAAGAAACTAATAACAGATATTTTGGAACCGATATTGCTGTTAAATATAAAAATCCCATCAATACATCCCTAGAACCTGAGTTTACCCTAATGTCTCAAATGTCAGAATGGCTGCTGTGAAAAAGGCTTATTATGAGAATAAGAAATCTTCCCTTAAATGATAATGAATAAAATAACTTTGACCTAAAACTAAAAGTGGTAAAGTTGAAGCAGTGGAACAGGAAGTGGACTCAGGTACTTCCCGTCTGCAGGTTCTGGATTATTGGGTGTTCGGTCGGATCTTCTGTGACATCTGGGCGGCGGTGGACGTCCTCTGCTGCACGGCGTCCATCATGTCTCTGTGCGTCATCTCCATCGACCGCTACATCGGCGTCCGCTACCCGCTGCAGTACCCGATGATCGTCACCGAGAAGCGGGCGCTGCTCGCCATGCTGGGCGTCTGGATCCTCTCCATCGTCATCTCCATCGGGCCGCTGCTGGGCTGGAAGCAGCCGCCATCGCAGGTACTACCCATCATGCACCAGGGATCACATGACCTCTGACGGTCTTCAACACTTCGTTTAATTAATTAAAGATTATTAAACCGGTAAAGTTGTTAAAGGTTCCAAATTGAATCTCAGTATTTTTATTTCCTTTATAAACGAGTCCTTTAACTAAAGATTGAAACATTAAACTGTAGCTAACAGCGCCACCAGTGGCCGCTCAGTGAACTGTAGCTATCGGCACCGTTTGTCAGAAAACAGAAGCTGCGTTCACATAGAAAGTGGAGTCGTGTTAGTGGATGAGAACCGGGCATTAACTTGGCATTACCATCCAAAGTTAAAATATTAGAACTTGTTGCCGTTCTCCACGAGGGTATTACAACCAGATGTTACGTAGCTCCCTCACAAAGGAGAAAACAAGGACAATCTGAACAAGCAGACACTAATAATTAATAAATTAATGAAAATTACGTAAAATAATATTATTTGACATATTTATTTATTCCGTCTGCCTGAATCATGTGAACGTAGCATTATTATCATGGATCAGTAGTTGTAGTTTGAAGATGATGATCTTTTTCTCGTACCGCAGGACGACACCGTCTGCCTCATCACCGAGGAACCTTTCTACGCCCTCTTCTCGTCGCTCGGCTCCTTCTACATCCCTCTCGCCGTCATCCTCGCCATGTACTGCCGCGTCTACATCGTGGCCAAACGCACCACCAAGAACCTGGAGGCCGGCATGATGAAGGAGCGCCAGCAGGACTCCAACGAGCTCACCCTTAGGATCCACTGCAGGAACCAGCAGATCCAGGAGCTGTGCCCCGCCTCCAGGGCCGCAGGGGGCGGAGCCTCGGCCGGACGCAGCACGCTCACCGTCAAACTGCTCAAGTTCTCCAGAGAGAAGAAAGCTGCCAAGACGCTGGGCGTGGTGGTGGGCATGTTCATCCTCTGCTGGCTGCCCTTCTTCCTGGCGCTGCCCATCGGTACGTTCAATCAGTGCTAATCAATGCTTCAGATAACGAAACTAATACATGATCATTAATATTCACTGTATCTGTGAGGGCGAGCAGCGGGCCACACATCTGGTTCAGATCTATTGTTTTCTTTGAACCAGCAGACCTGTCTGTCTGCCTGTCTGT